AAGCAGGGCCGGGCACTGCCCTCTGCTCCTTCAGGAGGCCGCCTCCTCCTGGGAGGCTCTGAACAGCTGGGAGGGAGGGGGCCGCTTTGCCCTTCTCTGCGGGGGTGGACTAACACAATTAAAATGAACATCATGCTTAAACTGAACCATTTAATTGGTACGTTAGTCCTGAAGATTCTGGAGTCCCTATTTAAAAAGAAGGAAAAAAAAGTCGGCAGTTTGTGCATTCCCCTGGGAGGATTCAGGGAAAAAGGCACAGCCTGGGGAAGCTGCTGCCTCCTCCAAACCGGGAGATTTTTAGCTCCTTAATCCCCAGCTCACTAATTATGATTATTATCGTTATTATGCTTTTACCAAGCACTTCTCTATGGACAAGTTTCGCTCTCTTTTTATTATTAGCCCGTCACTGGGGGAAAGGGATCGATGCAGGGTGGTGGGCAGAGATTCAGACTGGGAGGCAGAGAGGGAGGGGATTGTGGCTCTGTTCCCAGGCCCTCTCGCTGTGCCTCAGTCTCCCCACCTGCAGGAGATGGGGCCCACCCACTTGCTTTGAGAGAGACTTTGGGAGGTGGTCTGTGGCTCTGCACTATTGTGCTGTCATTAACCCCAGGCCAGGGTCTATGTTGGGGCCTGGCGTAGCTACCAAATTTAAAAAATACAGGCCCTGCCCTCAGTTTCATGTTGAGGCAGAGAGAAAAAAGAGATCTGTAAGAAACCAAATGAGCTGTTAAATCAGAGGCTTGGCATGCTGGTCCTGGAAGGAGCTCCTGTCTGGTGCCTGGAGAACTAACTTCCAGTCCTGGCTCTGGCAGCAGTTTGCTGGTCACCCTAGATGAAGCCACTTGCCCTTTCTGAGCTTCAGTCTTCTGGACTCTTTGAGTGAGACTCCCTGAAGGCTTGCGAACCACGGAGGCTCCAGGCCACATCTTCAGGGCGTGGGATTTCTCAGTGCCCTGGGATGGGGTGGCCCAGGATCTGTTAACTAGCCCCAGACGGTTAGGAGAGAGGCTCTTGGAGAAGGCCGCCCTCCGGAGCTCTGCCACCTCGGTGCCTTCGTAGCTGTGCCCCTTGCCCCGGGTCAGGAGCCTGGGCTAGGCAGCCCCCCACCCCTACTTTGCCCCAGACTGGAGTGAAGATATGGTCGTGATGAGGTCAGCTGCTACAGGTGATGGTGTGATGGTGAGCACTGCCCCCAGGTTTGGTTCTACAGACGTCAGACCCTGTGGTAGGGAGTGCCCGTGTTCCCTCTGCATCCTTCTGCCCATCGCCTGCAGGGAGGCACAGCAAATGTTCAGCCTGCTTCAACATCCCACGATCCTTTTCTAACCAGCCCAGAAGGAAGGCCCTCATCACTGCTGTGTGTACTGTGCTCTGCATTTTCCAAAACACATCAGAGCGCCTCCAGTGAATACACGCAGGCTGGCATAACTAACAGCCCTTTCAACAAGTGGGAAACTGAGGCTCACCAAGTTCAGGGCCTCAACCACACAGTGAGGTCATGGCAGAGATGGGATCAGAAACAAGGCTCAGCCGTGGTCCCTTCGTGCCCCTGCACCCTGTGAAGCCCAGAGGCCAGGGCAGGCGGCGTGGGCAGGTGGAACAAGGAGGAGGCGGCTTTTGCTGCTGAGCTGCTTTTAACATCCCAGACGCTATTGTTTGCCTCAGTGGGTTCGTTGCCTCTCTTCGTCCCCGACAATCTGTTCCTGTGTCTTCTCACATATATATAGATCCCCCCTCCCTCAACTGTAAGCCTTCTCCCACTTTCCATCCTTCTCTCTTTCATCACGTGGGCAGGAAGGCTCTGGAAGTGGCAGATCAGAGCAGCCGCGGGGGAGGCTGTTTGGCAGGGGTAGGAAGGGCCCGAGCCCAGCAAAGCTTCCACCCTTGGGCGGCACCTTTCTGCTTTACTTTTCACTTTTCCTCTCCCACAGCACCCTGGGGGCGGGGTGAGGAGTCAGGCTTAGGAGGTAGATAGGATGATGGAGGAGACCTGGGTCCCAGACCATGACCTCAGGCAGCTCTCTCCTGCTGCCCTGTGTCTCCCTGCTGGCCAGGGAGGGAGCAGAACTCAGAGCAGGCCTGACTTTTGGGGAATGGAAAACAGACTCCCCGCTCCCTGGCTGTAGCTACACGTGCAGTGCATGCAGTGGGCACATTCACCAGTGTTTTGGTTCCCAGACTGGTCCGCAGAATGCCAGGGAGCAGCTGCCTCTTTCTTTCTCTTTGAACGTGTTATTGGAAAAATTTAAAGTGCACCCTCCCCAGCCTCAGCAGTTCTGAACTCTGGACCAGGCCCATTTCATCCAAACTCTCCATTCAGCTCGGGTGATCACTTTTTTTTTTTTTTTTTTAAGCACAACCACAATACAATGTCACACCCAAAAAATTGACCTGCCTAGTCGGTGTCCCCATTTCCCTGATTGTCTTGTGAATGATATTTTTAGGTTGTGTGTCCACATAAGGGGCACACACTACATTGGGTCCTTTCAGTCATAACCTGTTGGTTTTGCCCCTGTGCAGTTTATTTATCGAAGATACTGGTTGATGTAGCTGGGTTGCTGCATCCTGGGCCACATCACACGAGGCTGCATCAGAATCTCTGGGGTGGGACAACTAGGCTGAACAACTCCCCAGGTGGTCGTATATTACTACTTCAGCAGCGACTCTGTCTCTGAAGCCACCTGGAGGAAAGAAGGCTGAATTGGACGTTCTGCCCCTGGTTCTGCTTCCATTAGGCTCTGACCTGGGCACCTCTCCTCCCCTCTCGGGACTTGTGATTTTCCCATCTGCGCCATGGAGCTAATACTGCCTACCCCAGGGGTTCGTTGTGAGAGTCAGGTGGGCTCCTGTGATCTGTGAGGTGCTGTGCTGGGTCTTAGCAGGTGCTGTGGCTGAAAATGAGCTGCAAGTGCACTGGGCAGCTGGAATCTTCTGTGTCCAGCTGCTCTGGGCTCTCAGGATCTCCTTGCCTTGTAAAACCCTTCCCCGACCCTATCTTCCCCTCCCCCTGGCCCAGCCTTTAATCACTGGAGGGGTGTTTTGTTTTTGTTTTTGTTTTTCAAGGTGATTAAAACCCCTCTGATTTTTATCGAACTTAATCGTAGTCCAGCTGTCCCAGCTGCTACCCCTACGCCAGCCCAGGCTGCGAATACCCCGAAGAAGGCCCGGGCCTCGGAGAGCACAGCCAGGAGCTCCTCCTCAGAGAGCGAGGATGAGGATGTGATCCCCGCTACGCAGTGTTTGGCTCCTGGTGAGCGCGGGCCCAGCACGCAGGGGTGACTTCCCTGCTGTGACCACCAGGCTTGGCTGGGAGGGGACGGACACACACACCACCACCACCCCCACCGTACCCCCACACCTCATTGAAACTCAGAAGGGAAAGGTCTCTGGCAGAGTCACAAAGCAAGTTGTTTGTTAGGAGGGGTTTGGGGCAAGGACTCTGGGCCCTACACTGGTTCATCCTGATGAGGGGCTGGCTCAGGAGAAATATTTGCCAGGGCTTCTCTGTGCCAGCTCCAAAGAGTAGAACACAGACAAAGCTGCAGGGACCAGGTTTCTACGTAGTCTAAGGAAGAGCTTTGTAACAACTGACTGCCTAAACGTGGGGAGGGCGGTGAGGTGGTAGTGAGCCTCCAGGTCATGGTGGCATGTAAGGGGGTTAAGGAATCCTTAAACAGTAGCATTTTCAGGGAAAGATTTCATCCAACAACTGAGACAGGACCAAATCTGTGATTTCTTTGACTTTTCAAGAATCTAATTCTACCAGTGATAGCAAGAAAATGGTTAATGGCCGTTATTGTTATTATGACACTTTTTAATGAGGATGGTAATACCTAATCTTAGTAGGCTAGTGCACCTGCCTGCTAGTGTACCAGTCCCACTGTCTGGAATAATTACTAAGCAGTTTATCTGGGCATTTTACAACTGTAAACTTTACAAAAACCTAAGCTATACATGTGTGTTTTTGGTGAGACTATGCTGTACATATGCTCAATAATCTTTATTTGATACGTTGTGACGTTATATATTTACAGCACGATTCCTGC